ATGTTGACCGGTTTAATCATCCGGATATGTAATCCGGACGATTTTTTTACTTAGAATTTGTTTTTGTTTTTTCTTTTGTTACTTTATTTTTTTTTGTTAAAAAAAATTTGTGTGTGTTTTAATAAATTTTTTTTATATTTTTTTGAGTTTTTGTTTGAATTTTTTTTGAGCAAAAATGTCAAAAAAAATTTAGTCTTTTGAAGGAATTTTTTTTTAATTATTTTTTTGGCAAATCTAGTGTTAGGTTTTATATCTGGTTTTGATAAATTGTGGAAGTTTAAATCATTTGCGGATCTAACATTTTTTATTTATTACAGGAAAATGGCTAATGAACCACAAAGATCTGACGAGGAAACTCATATTCCCTCGGTCAGATCAGACAACCTAAACAATCCAACTCAGTCAGCAAATATCCGAACTCCGGATGAATCAATCCTTTCACAATATCTTTACCTAGATATTAAATCAAACAACCATCATTTCAATTTCGAACCGAATAATTCCCGAAATTCTCAGAGGACACCCCATAGCCTATGCCCTAACAGCTACTGCGGAAGTCCCAATGGTCTACTTACAACAGTTTTGGCACACTCTCACTTTGTCAAAAGAAGGAGACCTGTATTTCTTTGAAGGGAATGTAGACGACTACATGAGCCGTCTCACTTTAAAAAGGCTTCGAAGAATACTCAGATTGCCAAGTACAACGGCCTCCGGATTTGAAGAATTAATAACCGACAAAGAGCTTCGTAGAGACATCAGACGGTTAGGATACTCGCAAGAGTTAACTAATTCATCACAATTCAAGAGATGATTTCTACCTTCAATATGACACCTGCTATTTTCAATACTCAACCGGTGTTTAACATCAAAAACTGTCAGGGTCGACACTTGCAACAGTCCATTTCTAAATTTTTTTCACGGGATCGTCTTCAATCGTCGTTATGATTATGCGCTTATAATCTGGAATGAAATGGTGGAGTTGGTCAACGCTAAACGATTTTCTTCAAAAGCTAGGAAATTTGTTCCTTTTCAACGATTTCTTCAACTAATCATTAAAGCAATGATGAACGCAAATGCAGAAATTCCAACCAGAGAAGGTAGTGAAATTGGGCCGTCATTTGTAATGCAAAGAATAAGAGCTCATACCAAAGTTGAAGATATCGAGTGTATCATGGAAATTCCAGCTGAGTTATTTGCCTACGCGGATCAGAGTGCTCATTATGTGATAGAATATAGGCGAGTTATAGATCCTATAGTTCAGCCAGAACCGGTTGAACTTACCCCGGGATCCACCCATGTCTTAGATGAGGAAGAGAGTCTACACATAGATGAGATAGTTCAGGTACAAGGGGTACGTGAACAGGGTACTGAGCAGAAAGAAAATGTAATTTTGAGAGGTAGTTTGGTGAGGGGAGACTCTGATCTGCATCACACTACAACTGATAGTACTTCAACAGCATCTTCAAGCTTGGAAGATACAGTATCAGATGAGGCAACTTAGGCTGATGATAATGATGATGATGACAATAATGATGATGATGTTGCAACTCATCCTGCGGCTACTGAAAACATTCAAGTCGGAGCAATCATAGATAATCTCGATGACATCTTTGATGCCAACCAAGATCAGCAACATTGTCCGAGTCTTCATAGTCTATCCTTTGAAGTTGATTTTACAGACGACTTTGTAAATGATTTTGGAGAGATATATCAACTCTTGAATGCAATACTAGATGAAGGAGATGAGGGAGTTCAAGTTGAAAATTCTACGAGAGTGTGTGAAGGGGAAAGAGAAAAAGATGGAGAGGGTGAGTATGGAACTCAAAATGAGGAAAATGCTCCTATCCTAGCTGATACACTTAGCTGGGCACCCACATCTGCTATCGATATTCATTTGTTGAATGTTGGTATTGAAATAGACATAGCTAGCATAGCTATGCAAATGATCACCCCCTAGCCACTCTATTGCTTCTCAACAAGCAATAGTTTCATCTTCACACGGGGWTTTAGCACATCATCTATCTGCTTCTCATTTGGAGAATGTAGATATTGAAACAAGTAAGCCTCTGCCCCAGCCTACGACTTTGATTTAGTGCACCTTGAGTCTAGAGCCGATACACTTAGGTACACTTGAGTCCAGAGCATCCGTTGCTCAACATGCAGTTCTTTGGGAACTAGCTGGAACGACCAGAGTAGAGTCTTTAGACTTCCATAAGGACAGGTCGGAAGTCCTACCAGTGCTAACATTATGCCAACACTGAACGTAGGCACAACAGTTGTCACAACTGGTAATCTATGTGATCCATGTGTTATTTTACCTAACTTTGTGTCAAGGGAATATTTGGATGGCGCCCTAAAGGCTGTCCAGGATACTACGACTGAACAAATTCTCAGTTTGAAAAGGTTGATGAAGGGCAAAGAGCCAGTATCAGAAGAACAACCATCTGTGCCATCACCACCGCCTGCCCCTGAACCTCCGAGGGAGCAAGAACAAATGGTGGATGAGCTGAAATCATTACTTTATGCCAAGTTAATTTCAAGTCAAAATCCTGATGCGGCGGACGCAGATCTTGTTGGGCTCTTGAGACAACAAGTTGAGAAGAATCCAACAATAAACGCCTTAGAGTTTCTAGCTTTTCAGAGCGTTGTAGCCACTAATTTCTCAAAGATTAGTTCTATAATTGCTTCCAACACTGAAGCACTCTCTGTTATGCAAAATTCCATTGATGCCTTAACCGAACGGGCATCAACTTTAGAGAACACTTGCCGAGCTCAGGCCACCATTTTAAAGAGAAGACATGATGATCAGGGTGATCTTGATCACATGAGGGGGAGAGGAAGAGACAAAGGTTGGTCGAGTCGTCAATGGGTGTTGAAGGTGTTGCTGGGGAGCCAGAGCCTGAAAACGTTATAGAAGAAAGTCCGGTTCTAGCTGGTACAAGTGAACGGACAACTGGCCAAGAATCAACTGAGAAGGTGACAGTTGTAGCAACAGATCATGTGATCGAGCCAATGGTTGAAAAGCCGGTGGTCTCCACAGTAAAAACAAGGATGTTGTTGGATATGTTTGCTAATGTTGGATTTAAGGAAGTCTTTTCAAGAGAACTGGGTGGAGTTCAAGACTATGGTGAAGACATTGATAATATTGATGATTCAGAGGACATCTATTTTGATTTTGAAACCGACATCCATGAAGATGATCCTATCTTTCCATTTCAGGCTTAACATCAAATTTATTCTAAACCTCCTACGACAGTATCTCCAGGTGCTTCTGATACTACGAAAACGACATTTGATCCTACTGAAAATTTCACTAAAAAGTATGTGTCGTTTGAAGTTCGTGCAAATGTTCCAGGATTTGATAGAGAACAGATTAGAGAACCGTATCTCGAAGACATCTACTTTGGTATTTTCATTCGTCATCGAAAAGCTTTAAGTGGTGACAGAATTTTTGGAATTCACAAGGAGACTTGTGAATACCGCATTGAATACAAGCATTTCTTGAAAGCTAAGCGCCAACCAATCAGTCAAGTACGAACCAAACATAGCATTGTCTCTATCAAGAATATTGATGCCAATAAACTTGTAAGAGTTTGGTATCCTGTTTTTACTGTAACAAGACAAGACGGTCACATCTGGACTTTTAGTGAAGCTGATTTTCCAAACCTCTACCTTGAAGATCTGGAGCATCTCTATCATGAACTTTGTGATCTTACAGTCAGAAAAGAAGAAACAGTCGTTGGTTTAGAAGCTATAAAATGATATCTAAAGAATCATGTCAAATTGTCTTTAGTCATTGATGTTTAAATGGGTTTTGAGGGTAATCAGAAGATTATAAATCTGAAGAGACCTAATCAAGACATTGAAGGCTATCCTCTCTTTATCATTCTTGAAGATCCTGAGTTTGGTGTAATATATGATGGAGCTGACAGAGCGAAGATGTTTATGAGGTTCAGTGAGCTAAACAAGTACTTTGACGGTACTATCAAGGTTGTGCGAAGAGCTCCTGAGAAGGTTAAAGCTGATAATGACAGAGCTTCAGAGCATGAAAGAATGAGTCCTAGAGAGAGGTTTCTTGTAAAACCCCCAGTCCCAAAGCAACAGACTAGCCCAATAACTTCGACTCCAACTTAAAACCATGGTGGAAGTTATTGGACTAGTCCGTTGCTTTGGGATTGGGGGTGGTGGTGCAAATCTCATTAGGTACGATGAGTCCTCGAGAGGGTGTGTTTGTAACATCTTATACGAATCCAACATTGCCGATGACAAGGAGGAAAATTCTAGATAGGGTTGACGAGGACGTCAGGGGTTTAAGTGGGGGAGTTTGTAACAACTCATCCCACATGGATAGAATGCGAGAATTGTTAGCTCCTTATAAGTCTCAAGTAGTGGGCTACCAATAACTTCCACCATGGTTTTAAGTTGGATTCGAAGTTATTGGGCTAGTCCGTTGCTTTGGGATTCGAGGTTTTACAAATGGTATCGAGATTTCATCAAGAAATGAGAGAGATATCGAGTTTGAGGCGGCATAGGGTCATTCAGCACAAAAATGGCGATTGGAGGTAAAATACTCAACCAAAATTGATGTATAATATATGGTTGTGTTGATCCTCTCTCTCAGTGATTTGATGATAATCCCTTTTTCCTTTCAC